TCTGGGGACCCCCACCAATGAACGCAATGTGCGTCTTGGAGTCCCCACCAATGAACGCAATGTGCGTCTGGGGACTCCCACCAATGAACACAGACGATGTGCGTCTGGAGACCCCCACCAATGAACGCAATGTACATCTGGGGACCCTCACCAATGAACACAATGTGCAACTGGGGACCCCCACCAATGAATGCAGACAAAGTGCATCTGGGGACCCCCACCAATGTTAAATCGAGAGCAGCGGCTGTGTCCCCGCAGCTCCTACATACCAAATGACATGAATGGGACTTCCTGCAGCGATGCACGGACCACAGCTCATCCACGGGCGTACACCCATGTGAATGAGCTCTAAAGCTCATCACTGGGCCAATATTAAAAGCCACCCTGCATTTATTTATTTTTTTACCTTGCAAAAATAGATATACACACCTAAGCATGCTGTCTGGGTCCCTTGCTGGCACCAGGTACAGGGACAACTAATCCAGAGCTGCAAATGTGCCCACATTGGCTGGTAGCAGATTATGCGTGCATCGCTACTCTTCTGGATCCTGAAAGACCCTTGCCACTGGACAGCCAATAGGAAAGTATTTACAGTACTATGCGAAAGTTATAGGCAGGTGTGAAGAAATGCTGTAAAGTAAGAATGTGTTTAAAATTATATATATATTTTAACTGTTTATTTTTATTACTTTACAAAATGCAAAGTGAGCAAACAGAAGAAAAATCCAAATCAATACTTGGTGTGACCACCCTTCAGCTTCAAACTGGCAGCAATTCATTTCATCAAGCTATTTTGAAGAAGCACAAAGAAATGGGCAACGTGTAGCGTAGACGCACTGGTCAGGCAACGTTGAGGAGCGTAGACCCGGTGGTTGGGCGACCTTGAGGAGCGCAGATGCTGTGCTCAGGCGACCTTGAGGAGCGTAGACCCATTGGTCGGGCAACCTTGAGGAGCGTAGACCCGGTGGTCAGGCGACCTTGAGGAACGTTAACCCGGTGTGGTCGGGCGACCTTGAGGAGTGTAGACCCGGTGGTCGGGCGACCTTGAGAAGCGTAGGCCCGGTGGTCAGGCAACCTTGAGGAGCGTAGATGCCGTGCTCAAGCAACCTTGAGGAGCGTACACCCATTGGTCGGGCAACCTTGAGAAGCGTAGGCCCGGTGGTCAGGCAACCTTGAGGAGCGTAGGCCCGGTGGTCGGGCGACCTTGAGGAGCGTAGATGCCGTGCTCAAGCGACCTTGAGGAGCGTAGACCCATTGGTCGGGCAACCTTGAGAAGCGTAGGCCCGGTGGTCGGGCAACCTTGAGAAGCGTAGGCCCGGTGGTCGGGCAACCTTGAGGAGCGTAGGCCGGTGGTCGGGTGACCTTGAGGAGCGTAGATGCCGTGCTCAAGCGACCTTGAGGAGCGTAGACCCATTGGTCGGGCAACCTTGAGAAGCGTAGGCCCGGTGGTCGGGCAACCTTGAGGAGCGTAGGCCGGTGGTCGGGCAACCTTGAGGAGCGTAGGCCGGTGGTCGGGCAACCTTGAGGAGCGTAGGCCGGTGGTCGGGCAAACTTGAGGAGCGTAGACCCAGCGGTTGGCAAAGGAAACATCAGGTTTCCTTCTCTTCCACATAGGAAGATGTCCAGCAGTGCCATCTGTCCACAGCTGGGACCCAGGTACACCCATCTACTATCCAGAGAAGTCTGGCCAGGTCTTAATGAAAAACTGCACCCAAGCCACACCTCCGACATGGAAACAAGGCTAAGCGACTCAACTATGCAGAAAACATAGGAACTGGGGTGAAGAAAAAATGGTAGCAGCTGCTCTGGACTAATGAGTCAAAATTGGAAATATTTGGTTGTAGCAGGAGGCAGTTTGTTGGCCAAAGGGCTGAAGAGCCGTTCAATATGGAGTGTCTACAGCAAGCATGGTGGAGATTCCTTGCAAGTTTCCAGCTGCATTTTTGCAAATAAAGCTGGTGATTTGGTCAGGATCAATGGTGTCCTCAATGCTGAGAAATACAAGCAGATATGTATCCATCATGCCATACCATCATGGAGGCGTGTGATTGGCCCCAAATTTATTCTGCAGCAGGACAACCACCCAAGACATGCTGCAAATGTCATTAAGACGCATCTTTGAAGCCCTGTGCTGGTTTGGCACCCACAGAGCCCTGATCTCACCCTCATGAAGTCCGTCAGGGATCACATGAAGAAACACAAGAATTGGAGGCAGCCAACAACCACAGACGATCTGGGCTTAGTTCTCCAGCATGATTGGAACAACCTACCCGCCGAGTTTCGTCAAAGTGCAAGTTTATCTAGAAGGAGGCAAAAGACAGTCCCACCAAATCTGGATTGGATTTTTCTTCTCTTCATTTACTTTCCACTTTGTTAATTGATGAAAACACTATTAACCTCCCTGGCGGTATTCCTGAGTGTAGCTCGGGGTTAACTTTCAGTACCAGAAGTGGTAACCCCCCCGAGCTACAGTCAGGATTACCCTGCAGTGCTTCTCCAGGATCCCTCGATCACTTACCTTGTCCTGCGCTCCCGCAATGTCCCCCCTGCAGTGTCTCCGGCAATGTCCTCCAGCCAATCCGTCTTCCAGGTTCTGTTCCCTGTGAGCGTCGGGACGTTCAGGGAGGGACCGGCGGGAAATTCAAAAATGTAAAAATTGACATTCGCTAAATACACTCAAATCTGATAGTATTCCATTCCTGCATCAAACCATTTCACATACATTTTGTCCCGAGTGCTTTGTCCGGCGCCCTGCCTGCATTCTTACTGTTCTTTCTGCCTGGAAACAGAGAAACGTCCATGGCGTCCAAAAAGCGTCCCTTTAGGTCAGACGCGGTTTTAGACCGGCTAGAGAACAGCGATAGTAAATCAGAACCACTTGCAGAATTGAGTGATAATGATTGGTGGGGGAAATTCCTCATCAGACACTGAAAACGATTCTGCGACTGAGCTCAGCGATGTGCAAACTTGGCGCTATATTTCACATTTCAGTGTTTTTGGTTTGATTATATTATTGAATTACATTTATTATTTTTTTATGATTACTTATATTATAATTTCAGGTTTTAAGTTTTATTCTACCCGGGATGCTTACTAGACTCTTGTTCAGTGAGTTATTCCTAACAAATTACAAGCCTACAATAAAAAAAAAAAAAAAACATTTCCATGCAAAAAAAGTACCGCTTTGAGCACAGAAATACTGACTTAATCAGACCGCTAGGGAGGCTACTTCTGTTTATGGACTTCTGTCCATATTTCTGTGCTGAAAGCGGTACATTTCTTTGCATGGAAATATGTATTTTTTAATTGTAGGCCTGTAAATTCTTAAGAATAACTCACTGAAATCTGTCCGAACAAGAGTCTAGTAAACATCCCGGGGAGGATAAAACTTGAAACACGAAATCATAAATTATAATTTAATAAATACTCATAAAAAATAATATAAATAATAAATTTAATTCAATAATATAATCAAACCAAAAACACTGAAATGTGAAATAGAGCGCCAAGTTCGCACATCACTGAGCAAAGTCGCAGAATCGTTTTCAGTGTCCGATGAGGAATTTCCCCCACCAATCATTATCACTCAATTCTGCAAGTGGTTCTGATTTACTATCGCTGTTCTCTAGCTGGTATAAAACCGCGTCTGACCTAAAGGGACGCTTTTTGGACACCATGGACATTTCTCAGTTTCCAGGCAGAACGGGCGGTAAAAATGCAGGCAGGGCGCCGGACAAAGCACTCGGGACAAAATGTATGTGAAATGGTTTGATACAGGAATGTTATACTATGTGATTTTAGTGAATGTTGCTTTTTGACATTATTAAATTTCCCGCTGGTTCCGTCCCCGTCCCGTACGTCCCAGGGAACGGAAGACAGATGCGACATCGGCCGGGGACGCTGCAGGGGGGACATCATGGGAACGCAGAACAAGGTAAGTGCAGGAGACGGGCGAACTGACAACTCATGGGGCCCCCGGGCAGTAAGGGATCATGGAGCCCGTGTCCTCGCCCACACTCAAACCACACCCAAAAAAGCCTATGAAAGGTACCAGGGGCATCTCTTGGGACCCCCTACTGACCCCAGGCCCTCAGGCAGTGCCCCAGTTTCCAAATGGTCAGTCCGCCCCTGGCAGGAGGGATCCCTGAGCAATGCTGCAGTGTATTCCCGAGTGTAGCTGGGGGGGGTTACAGCTTGTGGTACTGAAACTTTACCCCGAGCTACACTCGGGAATACCTCCAGGGGGGTTAAAGAATTCTTCATTTACAGCAATGTTTCCCCCACCTGCCTATAACTTTTGCACAATAGGTTTTTCTTTTAAGCCAGCTATCCGTTGAGTGGGGGATGGGCTTTAATGGTAGAACGGGTCATTTGGAAATGAACGATCCCTCTTCTGTCTGATCTGTCCACGTGGTCATGAAGGGAACACTACAGCGCCATGCATGCAGCCCTCTGAACCTGCAAATCACAGACATTTAGTAGCAGCGAGCGGCACGTGCAGCGTCCTGGTTCTGCGTCTACATACAGCCACGACGAGGTATGTACAGCTATAGACAAATATACATCCTTCACTACAGATTCATTCTCGCAATAAACTCTCCAGTCTGTACATGGTGGGAGGGAATCCTGCGCACCTCGGCGCTCCTTTACTTTATTCACATAAAAACGGCCACAGGACCGGCGGTCAGAGATGGAGGGGGAGGGGAATGACAACACTCGCTTGGAGTTTGTACCTTCGTAAACGGAGCTCCACAAAACAAATATATATATATTTTATCACAAGATCCTAAAACAGGGCGACATCGGAGTAAAATAATTATATACACCATCTTTACAGCACATTTCAGGAGTTTCAAATAAAAATACAACCGGGCCCCAAAGAAAAAAAAAAAAAAAAATAAAGTCATGTGACGGCGATGTCAGATGAGCACATGGAATAAATAAATCTTGTCTTCTGGTCTCTGGAATGGAAGACGGAACTCTCAGCTCCACGCAGCCGCTCAATCCCCCATCTTTACTTTAGAGGTCTGGAAGAGACAGGCAAGATGATGATCGGGGGAGGGAGGGGGGGGGGGCGCACAATCATAGGTGGGGGGTGAAGAAATAGATTAGGATGATCGAAAAATAAAAGGTTCACATTTATTATAAAAAAAAAACAAAAAAAAACATAATTATACAGATTTATTTAGCGCCAACAGTTTTCTCAGCGCTTTACAAAATATTTTTACATATGTGTGTTATACTTACCGTATTTTTCGCTCCATAAGATGCACTCCCCCCTACCGGCCCGGTATTCCCGCCCCCACGTCAGAATACCGGGCCAGCCGCTTGGCTCTTCTGTGCAGAAGAACTCGCTCCTCTGTCCTACCTGTCCCTCGGTCCAGCGGTGTCCTGCTTCCATCGATCGTCTTCAGTGTGGGCACCCGACTGTGACAGCTTGCAGCTTCACAACCAGGAGCCTGCTGCGCATGCATGAGAAGCTTTGTGCTTTGTGAATGGCCCTGTAGTCTTCTGGGTCCGCAGTCCCCGGTCATCTCCTGTACCGTGTCCGCAGTCCCCGGTCATCTCCTGTACCGTGTCCGCAGTCCCCGGTCATCTCCTGTACCGTGTCCGCAGTCCCCGGTCATCTCCTGTACCGTGTCCGCAGTCCCCGGTCATCTCCTGTACCGTGTCCGCAGTCCCCGCATCTACTCCCCGGTCATCTCCTGTACTGTGTCCGCAGTCCCCGGTCATCTCCTGTACTATGTCCGCAGTCCCCGGTCATCTCCTGTACTATGTCCGCAGTCCCCGGTCATCTCCTGTACCGTACCCCCGTCATCTCCTGTACCGTGTCCGCAGTCCCCGGTCATCTCCTGTACTGTGTCCGCAGTCCCCGGTCATCTCCTGTACTGTGTCCGCAGTCCCCGGTCATCTCCTGTACTATGTCTGCAGTCTCTGGTCATCTCCTGTACTGTGTCCGCAGTCTCTGGCCATCTCCTGTACTATGTCCGCAGTCTCCGCAGTCTGTGACCATCTCCTGTATCTCCTGTCTGCAGTCTCTGACCATCTCCTGTACTATGTCTGCAGTCCCCGGTCATCTCCTGTACTGTGTCCGCAGTCTCTGGTCATCTCCTGTACTATGTCTGCAGTCTCTGACCATCTCCTGTACTATGTCTGCAGTCTCTGACCATCTCCTGTACTATGTCTGCAGTCTTTGACCATCTCCTGTACTACGTCCGCAGTCTCTGGTTATCTCCTCTTTGCTGTGCGATTTGAGCCCTTTCACTTTGTACAGCTCAAATCACACCACACCACCAAGAGGTGAGGCATCTTTATTTCTGGCTGCACACTGGACTCCGATGTGATACGATTTAGGCAAATCACACCTGAATTTTGTGCTGTTAAATTAACATTGACACACACATCAGATCACATGACTGCACTGTGGCTCCAATGTGGGGGTCTCTCTCCACACACAGAAGCTGGTAATCACTGGAGTGGACACTGCTACTACACCGCTACCGCTACTACACCACTGCCAGCACCGCTACCACCACCGCACCTGCTACACCGCTACCACCACCTGCTGCTACCCGCTACCACCACCGCACTGCTGCTACAGTGATAACTAGCTTTCATTATGTAGAGAGGAGGTCGGCTGCTCAGCACAGATGCCATTCAGAGATTGTATTTTCTCATTAAATGCAAAGCATCCTCTGATTGGAAGAGGAGAGTAATGTCACTGCCCCACCTCATCCAATCACAGAATGCATAACACTAATTCAGAAATTACAAATCTCTGAATAGCATCCCTGCCGGGCGGCCGGCCTCCTCTGTTCATAGTGCAGTAGGACAGCTGCTCAGCGAGGGATCCAGAAGCTGGCGGAGATGGGTGCAGGAGGAGCGAGGCGGAGATGGGTGCAGGAGGAGCGAGGCGGAGATGGGTGTAGTAGCAGTGTTCTGGGGGTGTTCTGCTACATGTGAACAGCCTCAGCGAAGTGATAGTCAACGCTGGGACATGTAGTGCGGCCTCCACCCAGCAATAAACGCCTGACGGGGAGTTCACACAATCCATCCAAAATGACTCGCTTCCAGCGAGACCAAAGATGTCCTCCAACATGGCCGACTGGTGCGCCACGACACCATACGGCTCCGCCTACTCCTCTATACGGCTCCGCCTACACCTCTGTACCTACCTGCAGAATGGCCACAATAACCCCGAACAGGCCGATGGCGCTGCCGAAAATTTCTACAATCAGAATCTTCACGAAAAGGCTGCCGTTCTGAGCGTCGGCCAGCGCTGCGCCACTGCCAACGATCCCGACACAGATCCCGCAGAACAGGTTAGAAAAGCCCACGGTGAGGCCGGCCCCAAACATGGAGAACCCTACAGATACAAAACCAGAGGCCGGTCACACTACGGACGTCATGTTCGGGCGATCAGAAGGGACACATGAAACATCTAATATCACAAGAGAGGGAACACTGAAAGGAGATACGGGAGGAAAGAACATTCCGCTCATATCTACATATGGGGGGGGGGGGGGGAGGTACAGGAGAATCAACCAAAGAAGGTCTGAAAGCCTAATACAGAGAAGGCATTGTGAGTGAGAACCACAGCCGGCCACACCACTACAACACTGCCATCTAGTGACCATATTGCAGAATGCACAGTGATAATAGAGGGCTTAAAATCATCCCTGTGCTGAGTTCCCGGGTCTGTACACCCGCTGTGCCCATTATAAGGGGTTCCCACCATCCCTGTGCTGAGTTCCTGGGTCTGTACACTCACTGTGCCCATTATGAAGGGTTCCCACTATCTCTGTGCTGATTACCAGGTCTGTACACCCGCTGTGCCCATTATGAAGGGTTCCCCCCCATTCCTGGCTGAGTTCCTGGGTCTGTACACTCACTGTGCCCATTATGAGGGGTTCCCACCATACCTGTGCTGAGTTACCAGGTCTGTACACCCGTTGTGCCCATTATGAGGGGTTCCCACCATCTCTGTGCTGTGTGCCCAGGTCTGTACACCCGCAGTGAGGTGTTCCCACTATCTCTGTGCTTAGTTCCCGGTCTGTACACCCGCAGTGCCCATTATGAGAGATTCCCCGCCATCCCTGTGCCGAGTTCCCGGGTCTGTACACCCGCTGTGCCCATTATGAAGGGTACCCACCATCCCTGTGCCCGAGTTCCCGAATCTGTACACTCACTGTGCCCATTATGAGGGGCTCCCACCATACCTGTGCCGAGTTACCAGGTCTGTACACTCGCTGTACAAAAAAGGAGGGTTGTGAAAAGAGATTCACAGAAAAGCGGCTACATAATGAACAGAACGTGACACTAAGGGAATAATTTCCAAAAATTATGCTTTATTACACACAAATGAATATGACATATGGGCATTCGCCCTGGTTTACCATCACCTCAGTATGAGACAATACACACAGACCTAAAACCATTTAAAATGACACAAAGACCGGTCTAAATGTATGTGTAGCAGGGAAAATGGCTAATGAGTCTAGTGTCCCTGCAACACAAACACACAGGTGAACACTTCCCTAGGGAGGTGTATCCAAAAATTATGCCATGGGCATACCATAATAGAGGATATAAGGGATTAAACAGTAACCATAATGGCAAATCCCTATCAAGAAATCCAAAAAATTATACTGTAGATATATATATATCACATGTATGCAATGGAGCAAGCACAATATGCGTCAAAAAGGAGAGTAGCAGGCCTCAGGCCTGTATGAAGGAAGACATAAATGTCAAATATATTGTACAATACATTCCTGTGCCGGCAAGCAAGTGGTTGGGGCCCATTCATCTGTAATATAGATAGCTGTTCCTAGAGCTCTTGGATGGGAATATGCCCCATTTATTTCCAGGATGGAAGAAAAGATGCACACAGCAGCACTCTGCTTAAAATGGTTTCTTCACCACTTCACGTGGACTATACACCACTTTTTGTAGGAAAAAACAAGACACATCCCAAAGACTCTTCTGCCTGTTGAAATATATATGGTATATCTTGTTTCCTATACAAAGCACCATGATGTCCCCATCCTGTAGTGAAACAAACAATATGTGGGAAGTCACTGACAGATACGTCACTTCCGGTCATGCGCACTAGGTGGAACGCACGCTGACCCATAAGGAGGAAGCCATCTTCACAAGCCATGAGGCAAGCCTAAGCAGCACAAGCGCCGAGAAGGGGCTGGAACCCGCGGTATATCGGCGGATGTCAGCGGTGGTTCCTTGGCCGCCTTGGCCCTGTATGGCAGTACCTATGAAGGATTTCTCTTTCATTCCCGTTATCCATAGCACAGGTGATGAGTGGATTGTCGCAGGACATTAGATATATGGTCCTCTGTGATCTTTATGACCTATATATCTTCTATAGATATATAGGTCATAAAGATCACAGAGGACCATATATCTAATGTCCTGCGACAATCCACTCATCACCTGTGCTATGGATAACGGGAATGAAAGAGAAATCCTTCATAGGTACTGCCATACAGGGCCAAGGCGGCCAAGGAACCACCGCTGACATCCGCCGATATACCGCGGGTTCCAGCCCCTTCTCGGCGCTTGTGCTGCTTAGGCTTGCCTCATGGCTTGTGAAGATGGCTTCCTCCTTATGGGTCAGCGTGCGTTCCACCTAGTGCGCATGACCGGAAGTGACGTATCTGTCAGTGACTTCCCACATATTGTTTGTTTCACTACAGGATGGGGACATCATGGTGCTTTGTATAGGAAACAAGATATACCATATATATTTTCAACAGGCAGAAGAGTCTTTGGGATGTGTCTTGTTTTTTCCTACAAAAAGTGGTGTATAGTCCACGTGAAGTGGTGAAGAAAAAACCATTTTAAGCAGAGTGCTGCTGTGTGCATCTTTTCTTCCATCCTGGAAATAAATGGGGCATATTCCCATCCAAGAGCTCTAGGAAACAGCTATCTATATTACAGATGAATGGGCCCCAACCACTTGTGCCGGCACAGGAATGTATTGTACAATATATTTGACATTTATGTCTTCCTTCATACAGGCCTGAGGCCTGCTACTCTCCTTTTTGACGCATATTGTGCTTGCTCCATTGCATACATGTGATATATATATATCTACAGTATAATTTTTTGGATTTCTTGATAGGGATTTGCCATTATGGTTACTGTTTAATCCCTTATATCCTCTATTATGGTATGCCCATGGCATAATTTTTGGATACACCTCCCTAGGGAAGTGTTCACCTGTGTGTTTGTGTTGCAGGGACACTAGACTCATGTAGCCATTTTCCCTGCTACACATACATTTAGACCGGTCTTTGTGTCATTTTAAATGGTTTTAGGTCTGTGTGTATTGTCTCATACTGAGGTGATGGTAAACCAGGGCGAATGCCCATATGTCATATTCATTTGTGTGTAATAAAGCATAATTTTTGGAAATTATTCCCTTAGTGTCACGTTCTGTTCATTATGTAGCTGCTTTTCTGTGAATCTCTTTTCACAACCCTCCTTTTTTGTATGCCTCTTTTGGCTACTGAATGGAGACCATACATTGGGTGACACGTTAATGTATTTAATAACCTCTTTAATAACTATCTTAGTATATCTGTACACTCGCTGTGCCTATTATAAGGGGTTCCCACCATCCCTGTGCCGAGTTCCCGGGTCTGTACACCCGATGTGCACATTATAAGGGGTTCCCACTATCCCTGTGCTGAGTTCCCAGGTCTGTACACCCGCTGTGCCTATTATAAGGGGTTCCCACCATCCCTGTGCCGAGTTCCCGGGTCTGTACACCCGATGTGCACATTATAAGGGGTTCCCACTATCCCTGTGCTGAGTTCCCGGGTCTGTACACCCGCTGTGCACATTATAAGGGGTTCCCACCATCCCTGTGCTGAGTTCCTGGGTCTGTAAACCTGCAGAAGACTGACCTGCATGGTAGTTGTTTCTCCCGATGGTCTCCGGAGTGTTTCCTGAGAAACGCTGCAAAAGAAAAAAGTCAGGTTAACAGCGACGCACCCAGGAGCCATCACCCCGAGCCCATGAAACACATCTGACCCCACCCTGTGCCCGGCTCAGCGCGTGGGGTCAGGGGGCGGACAGGGCAGCAGCCGTCACACTTCATCCGATGAGTCCGATACAAAGCAGCAAAATAATGTGAAAAAAAAAATTCAGAATCAAGTCAACACAATTCCAACAATCGGCTCTGGGATCCCCAGCAACACCTCCATCAGGTGTCTGGACCGACTCTTGGAATTTGGGTCGGAGATATCACCATTAATAACCTCTGCGGTTTTTTTATTTTTTGCACTATTAAAAAAAAAGGGAGGGACAATTCTGGGGGAAAAAAAAATATATATATTTTTGACTTTTTGATATTAAACATATCCAGTAAAAAAAAAAAAAAAAAAAAAAAAAAATCAAATTTCATCATAAATTTAGGCCGAAATGTATTCAGCTCTGTCTTCGCTAGCAAAAAAAAAAAAGAAAAAGAAGAAGATTGGCCAATCAGTGATCACATGAATAGTAGTAAGCAAGATGTCACTTCTGACATCATTGATTACTACATGTGAAATCTGTGAATGATCACAGAGATCACATGGTACAGGACTATTCACAACAGCCTTGTACCATGTGACAAGCTGTGACCAATCACAGCTCACACAGTATTCCTCAATGGCTGCAAGAATGCAGCCAGAGAGGAGGAGAAACGATTCCTCTTACAGCCTTTATGGGTGTAAAAGCAATCAGTGTAAAAAAAAAAAAAAAAAAAAAAAATTTATCACCCCCTACAAGTAGTACAGTGTCACCATGGTGACATTGTACTGCTAGGGTGACAGTATGAGATATAGATATAAAATCTGATAATGTTTAACAGGTTCCCTCCTGGCCTATAGCCAGATGGTGGCCTGCAAAACCCCTCGTCCCCCCGGGTGGATGCTATATGGCGTCCTTTCGGGCATGGGAAGGGGGTGAAAGAGTCCGGACTGGAAGGGGGGGGGGGGGGGCGGGGGGAGGTGACAGGGTCCGGACTGAAGGGGGGGGGGGGGGGGGGGGAGGGGGGGTGACAGGGTCCGGACTGGAGGGGGGGGGGGGGGGGGATGATGTGACAGGGTCCAGACTGGAAGTGGTTATGTCAGGTGTCAGAGCGGAGGAGCCTCACCTCGGCCATGTTGCTGATTACAATGGCCATGATGATTCCGTAGATGGCCACGGCTTCGCAGAAGATGATGCTGGAAGACGGAAATGAATAGACATGAATGCGATTACCATCACCCAGACCCCCCCCCCCCCAGTCATGTGACAATGGGATCCTTCTTCCTCGATTAGAGCAGGACTTTACCCATAATGCCTTGACAAAAGAATTATTCTTTAGCGGGAAGCAAACATTCTCCACATTATTATTTATGCGCTAAATGGCCTCCAACATTCCGGTTTCTTCTTGCTGGGGGCGGCCATCTTGCTCAAGCCCAGAGCCCCCGAGCAGCAGGAAACCTTTAGGCTGTCAGCAGATTTGCCTCTACATTTTCAGGTGTACCAAAAAAAAAAAAAAAATAGAGAGCAACTGAGCACGTGCAGAGCAGGGCGAGACCGCGCACTGCTGGATTGTACACGGGATAGGAACTTATTTTGAATGTTTTCCATAACTGTACCTGCAAATGTGGCCGGCCTGAGGAGCACCAGCAGGACTTCATTTTTTCTGACTAAAGTTCCGCTTGGCACCGGCAGTGCACGAATATGCTGCCCCTCGGTGACTGGGCCTGGACGCCGAGAGGCCGCACATTTGCTCAGCCGAAACAAATGTGCGCCCTGCGTGATCCCAGCACAGAAAAGTTCCTGGAAAGCTCCCAAATCGCTACTTGCATTCATGATCATGTGACCGCTGTGACAGCCAATCACATGATCCTAAAACCCAGCCCAACTCCCGGTGTCAGAAACCCCTTAAAGCTAGGGTGTCAAACTGGTGGCCCTCCAGCTGTTGCCAAACTACAAGTCCCATCATTCCCCTGCCTTTAGGAGTCATCCTTGTAACTGTCAATCTTGCAATGCCTCATGGGACTTGTAGTTTGGCAACAACTGGAGGGCCACCAGTTTGACACCCGTGCCTTGAAGGGTCAGGAGGCACAGGCACCAAGTGGTTTGAGCAGTAGGATTGGCTACATGGCACACTTACAGGATGGAAGAGGAGGTGCCTAAGTGGGTGGAGCTCAGACTTACCTGACGAGCGATGTCAGGGAATCTACAGTAACAGGTCATCAGATCACATGACATGTATTACCTCATTGGAGGGTTTTACAATTCACCAACGTAGATTCCCAACCTGTATTGTAACGGTCTAGAGTTCCCCTTCCAATAATGGGATTTCAGCAGAACTGGAGCAGGACGTCATTTAATCCAATGACTGAAGAAGGAACAACAATGGTCACTGCAGGACTGATGGACACTTACCTGACCAGGTTCTTGGTTTTAATACGTGGAGCCTTCACCCCTCCGCCCAGGATGCTGGAGCCAGTGATGTAAATACCCCTTTAAGAAGATGCAGACAATTAGTCACAGGGACAGAATACAGCAGTCCTCAGTGTACAGGGACAGGTCACACAGTCAATGGCTACCCCCTCCCCCCCCCCCCCCACACCGGGGACACTTACCAGGCTGCTCCCACCACAGACAGCGAGATGGCCAAGCCGATGCCAAGGTTCGCCCACATGTACGGTGAGGTCTCGGTCAGGAACCTGAAGAAAAAACATGGACCAATCAGATACAAGTCTTCACATCACATCGGATATGTGACAGAGCAGACCATTGGCTGGAAGCACACAGCTGATATGTAGGATGTTCAATGTTACAGGAAATCGAATATTTATTAAATTAGGGCCACCGACAATAAAAAGATTACATTCGATCTCGAGGAGCGGCAGGACATGGAGCCTACAATGTAAACACCACTGACCAAAGGGCACGCCTTCCTCCTCCCACCAACGATGGACACGCCTTCCTCCTCCCGCTGACCCACCAACGATGGACACGCCTTCCTCCTCCCGCTGACCACAAGCAATGACCATTGGTTCCTCCTGTCATTGACCATCAGTGATGAAAATACATTTCTCTCACTGACAGTGAACAGGCCTTTTGTTTAGGGACCCCTACCCTTCTCAATGAAGGAAAGCGATGGCCAGGCCTCTCCCTCCTCCGGCCATCAACTATGGCCAGGCCTCTCCCTCCTCCGGCCATCAACTATGGCCAGGCCTCTCCCTCCTCCGGCCATCAACTATGGCCAGGCCTCTCCCTCCTCCGGCCATCAACTATGGCCAGGCCTCTCCCTCCTCCGGCCATCAACTATGGCCAGGCCTCTCCCTCCTCCGGCCATCAACTATGGCCAGGCCTCTCCCTCCTCCGGCCATCAACTATGGCCAGGCCTCTCCCTCCTCCGGCCATCAACTATGGCCAGGCCTCTCCCTCCTCCGGCCATCAACTATGGCCAGGCCTCTCCCTCCTCCAGGCCTCTCCCTCCTCCGGCCATCAACTATGGCCAGGCCTCTCCCTCCTCCGGCCATCAACTATGGCCAGGCCTCTCCCTCCTCCGGCCATCAACTATGGCCAGGCCTCTCCCTCCTCCGGCCATCAACTATGGCCAGGCCTCTCCCTCCTCCGGCCATCAACTATGGCCAGGCCTCTCCCTCCCTCCGGCCATCAACTATGGCCAGGCCTCTCCCTCCTCCGGCCATCAACTATGGCCAGGCCTCTCCCTCCTCCGGCCATCAACTATGGCCAGGCCTCTCCCTCCTCCGGCCATCAACTATGGCCAGGCCTCTCCCTCCTCCGGCCATCAACTATGGCCAGGCCTCTCCCTCCTCCGGCCATCAACTATGGCCAGCCTCTCCCTCCTCCGGCCATCAACTATGGCCAGGCCTCTCCCTCCTCCGGCCATCAACTATGGCCAGGCCTCTCCCTCCTCCGGCCATCAACTATGGCCAGGCCTCTCCCTCCTCCGGCCATCAACTATGGCCAGGCCTCTCCCTCCTCCGGCCATCAACTATGGCCAGGCCTCTCCCTCCTCCGGCCATCAACTATGGCCAGGCCTCTCCCTCCTCCGGCCATCAACTATGGCCAGGCCTCTCCCTCCTCCGGCCATCAACTATGGCCAGGCCTCTCCCTCCTCCGGCCATCAACTATGGCCAGGCCTCTCTCCCTCCTCCGGCCATCAACTATGGCCAGGCCTCTCCCTCCTCCGGCCATCAACTATGGCCAGGCCTCTCCCTCCTCCACCTCCCATCAACTATGGCCAGGCCTCTCCCTCCTCCGGCCATCAACTATGGCCAGGCCTCTCCCTCCTCCGGCCATCAACTATGGCCAGGCCTCTCCCTCCTCCGGCCATCAACTATGGCCAGGCCTCTCCCTCCTCCGGCCATCAACTATGGCCAGGCCTCTCCCTCCTCCGGCCATCAACTATGGCCAGGCCTCTCCCTCCTCCGGCCATCAACTATGGCCAGGCCTCTCCCTCCTCCCATCCGGCCAGGCCTCAACTATGGCCAGGCCTCTCCCTCCTCCGGCCATCAACTATGGCCAGGCCTCTCCCTCCTCCGGCCATCAACTATGGCCAGGCCTCTCCCTCCTCCGGCCATCAACTATGGCCAGGCCTCTCCCTCCTCCGGCCATCAACTATGGCCAGGCCTCTCCCTCCTCCGGCCATCAACTATGGCCAGGCCTCTCCCTCCTCCGGCCATCAACTATGGCCAGGCCTCTCCCTCCTCCGGCCATCAACTATGGCCAGGCCTCTCCCTCCTCCGGCCATCAACTATGGCCAGGCCTCTCTCCCTCCTCCGGCCATCAACTATGGCCAGGCCTCTCCCTCCTCTGGCCATCAACTATGGCCCCTAACCTTCTCAATGCTAAATGGAAAACTTTTGCTTGAGTTCTTCCTGAAAAACAACTAAATCTGAAGCAGGAATAACCTGATCTACCAGCAGTTTGCCAATTTTAGCCCTAAATAATGATCCCCTAGATGCTGGTCATGTGCTCATACATAATATACTGTACATGGGCTTGCTGATAGCAGACCCTAAACATGGCAACCTCCATCATGCAGCCCCCACAAGAGTCCACACCACTTCAGACCTTCTACCACCTTCTGCCCATAAAATAGGCTGTCCAGATCATTATGTCACCATAATAGGATTTTCTCTCTCTGGGTCACCTAAAACCGGCACCAATTGGGACCCAGCACTGTGCAGAGCTGCACACATCCCCGCCGAGTTTACCAATCGCTATGACTAAAGGGCAGTACAGCGGGGTCACAGATGGATGGTGACCCATGAAGAGGAATAATCCGCACATTGTTCGAAGAGAAAACTAGACGCATGCACTGTAATTTATCATCAGCGAGGTGCGACGGAGCCGGGATACCGACTGGACAGAGAATTTCACAATGAAGGGAACTCTACGTCTCATTACACCACGAAACTCCGCACTGCATAGAAAGAAGAAGAACTCTGACTGTTACAGCTTTATTCTGGAGATACGAGAGCTTCAATGTCCTTCCACACTCTACTCATTCCATGTGCTCCTGGGAAATCATCACCATTCTATTCACTATGGTCTAGAATAAAACCATGACACAACAAGGCCTTCCCACTGTACAGACAGACAACAGAATACATTTTACACAAAGTGCATTACTTTCATGCTGATCTTCAGTATGCCGGAAGACGAGGCACATGCTCATACAGGAGTGAGGATTTTTGGGAATAATAAAAAAAAAAAAAAAAAAAAAATTAAATTCAAAACTGAACTTATTTTGTATTAAAACAACAAAACATAATTATCTGCTCTGTAATGGTATTGCAAAAGACAAGCCCCGATCCTCCTCTTCTGGGACCCTCCGCCGGCGCTCCTAGCTCCTCCTCTTCGGGGGACCCTCCGCCGGCGCTCCTGGCTCCTCCACTGCTGGGGACCCTCCGCCGGCGCTCCTGGCTCCTCCACTGCTGGGGACCCTCCGCCGGCGCTCCTGGCTCCTCCACTGCTGGGGACCCTCCGCCGCCGCTCCTGGCTCCTCCACTGCTGGGGACCCTCCGCCGGCGCTCCTGGCTCCTCCACTGCTGGGGACCCTCCGCCGGCGCTCCTGGCTCCTCCACTGCTGGGGACCCTCCGCCGCCGCTCCTCTTCTGGGGACCCTCCGCCGGCGCTCCCGGCTCCTCCTCTGATGGGGACCCTCCGCCGGCGCTTCCCCGGCTCCTCCTCTGATGGGGACCCTCCGCCGGCGCTCCCGGCTCCTCCTCTGATGGGGACCCTCCGCCGGCGCTCCCGGCTCCTCCTCTGATGGGGACCCTCCGCCGGCGCTCCCGGCTCCTCCTCTGATGGGGGACCCTCCGCCGGCGCTCCCGGCTCCTCCCTCTGATGGGACCCTCCGCCGGCGCTCCCGGCTCCTCCTATGATGGGGACCCTCCGCCGGCGCTCCCGGCTCCTCCTCTGATGGGGACCCTCCGCCGGCGCTCCCGGCTCCTCCTATGATGGGGACCCTCCGCCGGTGCTCCCGGCTCCTCCTCTGATGGGGACCCTCCGCCGACGCTCCCGGCTCCTCCTCTGATGGGGACCCCCCCGCCGACGCTCCCCGGCTCCTCCTCTGCTGGGGTCCCCCGCCGACGCTCCCGGCTCCTCCTCTGCTGGGGTCCCCCGCCGACGCTCCCCGGCTCCTCCTCTGCTGGGGTCCCCCGCCGACACTCCCGGCTCCTCCTCTTCTTCTGGGGTCCCCCGCCGGTGCACATGCAGTGCACTCTCCCGAGCCAGACTGTGTGCATCTCTCGCACCACCCAGGCCCCCTAAAAACGGGTCTCAATCCAGCACTGCTCTCTCTGCTCACTGGACAGAGGCAGCTGAGGGAACCATTGGATCCTGCTGCTGTCAATCAAATCCAGTGAGGAGGGAGTGGAGGGTGGAGCTGGGACACACTGTCAGACGAACACAGCACGGCTCAGGATTGAGCCTGCATGTGTGCACTCATAGGAAGCGGCTTCCTATGGTGGCAGAGAAGAGGAGGAGCCAACAGCGCAGGTGGAGGACCCCAGAGGAAGTGGATTGGGGTTGCTCTGTAGGGAACCATTGCATGGGAGGAGGTAGGTAGATATGCTCATTAGAATATTGAATAAAAACCCCGACACACCACAACTTTACAAACATTTTATAGCTGAAGTTTAAACTGCTTAAATCTTGCCTTTCCTGGTCCCCCGCCCTCATCCTGAGAAGCTCACAGTGTGCAGTGACATCAGAGTAAGTCCAGGAGAGGAGCCCAGCACACCTGCGCAAGACTGAAGGGGGAGCAGGAGCCGGCACACCTGCGCAAGACTGAAAGGGGGAGCAGGAGCCGGCACACCCTGCGCAAGACTGAAGGGGGAGCAGGAGCCGGCACACCTGCGCAAGACTGAAGGGGAGCAGGAGCCGGCACACCTGCGCAAGACTGAAGGGGGAGCAGGAGCCGGCACACCTGCGCAAGACTGAAGGGGGAGCAGGAGCCGGCACACCCTGCGCAAGACTGAAGGGGGAGCAGGAGCCGGCACACCTGCGCAAGACTGAAGGGGGAGCAGGAGCCGGCACACCTGCGCAAGACTGAGAAGGGGGGGGGGAGCAGATACACCTGTGCAAGACTGAGAAGGGGGGGGGGAGCCGATACACCTGTGCAAGACTGAGAAGGGGGGGGGGGGAGAGGCCCGATACACCTGTGCAAGACTGGGGGGAGGGG